GTTTTAACTGTGTAGACATTACCATGTTTTATATTTCTGGAAGTGGACATGATCAGCACCGCATTGTAAATAAAAGACCTTATAACTACGCTCCAACCATTTCCATTGTTCCAAACATGGTAGTGACCAGTGAAACCTCGATAGAAGAGGACCCAATGACAGAGACATTTCCCTCAACCTCTTCCATCGCTTGTTCAATAAAACCCAGAGCACCAGTGTCTGTAGTGGAGGAAGCGATGCAGACTGTTTCTTGACTGAGATGAGAGTCAAGAGAACCAAGAGTGAATTACAATCCACAGCCAAACAAACGGGTGACAACAACTGTGGTTTTCACAGAGCAGCTGCCCCAGTGTTTGACCAAAAGGATGATCTGATAGATGCACTTCAGCTTCTGTCCATTTCCTCTACAGTGAAAGTCGAGGAAACATCTGTGATGGACACTTCAAGTTCCAGTTTAATCATCAACCAGAGGGATATATTTCAGAATGTGTCAGTTTCCTCTCACGAAGACATGAACTTTGAGGATTTATCTTTAATGATGGACACCTCCAGTTCATGTCTGCTCAGCAATCTGACGGACATTCAGAGAGGAAATGTGGGATTGAGGAAAATACCATATTCTGTGAAGAAAAACTCTGTAAAGTGGACAGCAGACGGTTCAGGAATAACTTCTATGGGACTCTCTTTCTCTGGAGGAAGGCTACTGTCTTTACTCCAACAGCGCCACCACCAGGAGATAGAGGAGATGGAGTACCAAGAGGCTCTGTGTCTCAAGAAACCGATCCCAACTCTGCTCTGATCAGCAATAAAGCTTTCCATTTTATAAGTCTTTATTAGTGCTGTAGTTTTATTAGTAACATAGTAGTGACTCAAACACATCCATAAATGTAATGGAGGGAGAAGTGTCTATCTCAAGGGCACGTGTTCTAGCTTGTTGAGTCCTGATCCAAGGCATTCTCATCCACTCTCCAGAAGGGAGGATGCAGGCCTGAGTCTACAGGGGTACAAAAGGGTGCACTACAACCTCAGTTATATCGGTTGGCTAATATATCAGACCAATATCTGGACTTTTTAGCATTTCGGCTATTGCCCTTACATCTCCAGCATACCCGATATTTTGTTTTAGTCAATCTGCAGCCTAAATAATAAACACAAAGCTAACACTTTAATACGATGAGGTACCTACACAAAACTGACTACACAGCTCTCTTACATGTTTCGGGTAAAAAGGGGCTTGAGGGGATTTTCTCGTAAATTTTAAAGGCATAATTTTGTTGCTCAGTGTTCTGAACATTCGGCATTGGCATCGGCCATAAAACAACCCACATCATCAATCTCTACTTTGCATCCTCATTTCAGGCAGATAAAATAAGCCAGGACCCCCTGCCTCCAACTTAAATTATTATTCTGACATAATCAAATTCTTCAACGTGAACGCGACCTACACTAAATTAGAACTAAACCAGGACAAGGGTTCTGAACAGGAACAATGAACTAAACAAAGCAAAGTCTAAAAGCGGCTTTAAGCTTGTACAAAATTATTGCTGAAATAAAAAGTGGAAACACCGTTCTGAGAAATGTTTCCAATGACACATTTAACAATTTACCAAAAAAAAAAAAATAATATATATATATATATATATACACACACACATAAATAAGCAATAAGATATTCAACTGTGTGTAATGTTACTGCACATTATGAAACAGGCAAGTCAAACATTTAGCAAATAACAAAATAAATAATTTGAATAATTTTAAAGCTATATAAGATTGTTTATCAAACATGATAAAAAAAAATCTACTTACGAAATGACTAAATGCCACTATGAAGAGGGGTCTATCAGTTCTGCAGTGTTGAACATGTCAAGTCAATTGATCCTATTGTTATTAGAATTGATTCTATTATTAACATGTTTTAGATCAAAACTGAGGTTTACAAGGAAATGAAAACCTTAATTTAATACTATTAATAATTCTATAATAATGTTACAGTAACATTTGTGGTTTTGCATCATATTACCTATCCTGTGACACATATAGATTTATAGAAAAAAAATGGGTGGGCTTATGTTATTCTACAGAAAATATTCAAAATAAATACATTCTTTTAAGAAGGAGTTGTTTTTTTGGGCCTGAGGATTTCCAGTCTGGATTTGTGTCCAAAAATGCACTGGACTCCCCTGCTCTGTGTTTTGACAGAGAGATAGAGAGAAAATGTGGAGCGGATCGTCTAATCGAATGTGACACAATGAAAACAGTTACAGATTCCTGCTCATTCAGGCCGTGGAGCTGCTGCAGTCTGTCAGCTGTCAGGGAAACTACTGTAGTGTGTACGACGTACACAATACAACCTTCCAATATTTGAAACAATGTTTCAATTAAAGAAGTACCATGTAACTTTTCTGGTGGCGGGTTGACCACCTTATTGTGTCCATAGACTCTGCCATTAAACTTACATTCTTCTTACATTCACATTTACATTCAGGTGTCTGTACTGTAAAAAAAAAAAAAAAAAAAACTTAGAAAAACATGCATTCTGCTGTCAGTGGGTTCAGGTCTGATCTGTGGGGAGGTGAGTATTTTATTAGTAAAACCTCTTTAATTGAATAAATGTAAGATAGTTGACATTTCAGCCAGACCTTGTCAAAGCCTGATCTCATCAGATCTCAGAAGCTGAGCTGGGTGGGGCCTGGGTAGTGTTTGGATGGGAGACCGGTGAGAAAATCAGGTGCCACAGTGGTGGTAAAAAAACAAACAAACAAAAAAACTGTTGTTGTGTCCTTAGGCAAGACACTTCACCCACATTGCCTAGTATGAATGTGGTGTGAGCGTGAGTGATGGTGGTGGTCGGGAGGGACCAATGGTGCAGATTAGCAGCATTGCTTCCATTAGTCTGCCCCAGGACAGCTGTGGCTACAACAGTAGTTTACCTCCAGGTATGGAATGAATGAATAATGCACCAAATTGCAAAGCGACTTTCAGCATCTGGAAAAGTGCTACATAAGACTGATGTATTATTATTATTAAAGCAATAACATCTCCTTGGAGACAATCAGGGTGTGCATCCCTACCAGAAAAGTTACATAGTGCACATTTAATTCAGTAATTTTGAGTCTCAATAAGTGATTTGTTTTTCAAGCTTAATTATCTGTCAGTGAGGTTAAAGTTAATACTGTGATTTTATAGTCCATTTGAGATGCAGGCCCCCCTTGTGTAGTGTTTTTTTTTTTTTTTTTTTTTTTTTTTTTTTGATAGAGCTTATAAATATAAAACGGGGGTACAAATCAAGACTAGTTTCTGACAGACTACATTTTTATTTATCAGTAGAGACGTCAAGTTTAATTTTTTAAGATTTAAGAAGTGCTTTATAGAGCAAATGTTGCAGGTGCAAAGGACCTTAACAGAACATGCACTCAATTGCTGCCTATTTATTTAACTTGAATGTGTTTGCATGTAACTAACTAAAGACCAAAAACTTACGTTAAAACGTCGATAAAACAAAACAAATGATAACACGTGTGGCTAAAATATGTGGACATTATAGAACCGTGTTGAATACATGAAATGTGAATAAAAAAGAAGTTATGTTGGTGTTGAGAAACCTTACAGATTGGATATTGAAATGAAATTATCAATGACAACAGGAACTCAACTTTTGCATGTTGTTTTTTTTGCACACAAGTCTGATAACTTCTGCAAGAAATGGCAGGCTATAGATCTCGAGGCGCCACTTTTATCTAAAATTACGCGACTAAAAATAAAGCGACTTACCTTTTTTGTCCTCATTGTAAAACGCTGTAATGACTGTCTCTTGTGAGTAAAATGAGCAGCACTACAGGTCTTTCTTCCTCCTCTTAGGCTACTTTCCCTCTCCGTTAGTTGGTTAGTTAGTTGGGGGTTGTTTCATTGCATCTACGGCGACGGCGCACTAAATCTTCGCTCTCCCCCCACCCCTTTTTCACATGGCCCTCTTTTTCAAACTTTGCTCCCAGGAATTGAGGTCAAATACTTGGTGCCACTCGGTACTACCACTCCTCAACATTACAGAGCCGATTATCAGCATGCCAGCGAGAGAAGGAGCACGAATTCTGCGTTTTTCCCTAACTTTTGGCTTGATCCAGTGCGCTCTCCGTGCACCAACAGGCTACAGTCGGTTCCTTGTCTACCCTTTCGCCTCTCCGGCCTCCCTCTCACCCGCTTGGCCAGAATAACAATGAGCAGGAGATGGGACCCCGGCTGAATTCAATAGGAAAAAGAATAGACTAATGATTTGAACTTTTTAAAGCCAAATACGCAGGGACTCACACGAACATAAGAGGCCTGCACTGTAAAAAAAAAAAAAAAAAAAGTTGTTATTCTTTCCCCCCATAGACTAGCTTATTATAGCCAAGTCTACATTTGCCAATAAATAAAAATATTTGCCTAGTATTTGCCTTTAGAGGAACGCAACATGGAATACAAGATAAATGGGGAGATAAATACAAGATAACAGTTGCATTACATTTTTAATGAATGCGGTTTTCCATTGGTATTATTTATTAACAACAATTTTATTCCAAAAAAAAACTGAAAAAAGTAGGAAGCTTCATGAGAGAATGAGGCCATGAGTGGAAATTACTTGATTTCAATGCTTTATTTTTATTATTTTGACAAGTTATTTTATTTTTACTTTTTTTACTTTACTTTTAAGCTTCATGAGAGAATGAGGCCATGAGTGGAAATTACTTGATTTCAATGCTTTATTTTTATTATTTTGACAAGTTAACATTTTTTAGACCTATACTTAGATTTACTGGCACACTCTAATCATGCACTGAAATAGAGAATAATTCTTCAAAATTGGTTTAGAAAAAAGTCTGTTGCAATGTTATCAGTATTACAAATAAGCATATAGTTGGCTAAAAACAACATGCCAAGCCTATTTAAGCATTTGTAACCCATGCAGGTTGGCCTATTCTTTTTGCAGGGCAGTTGGCATCTCTCCGGCTTACATACATACAGACAGCCCATGGTGCATTCCTGCTCCCCATTTTCTCACATAGGGCACAGAGGAGGAGGAGGGGCCCCGGGGTGCACAGAGCACAGCCATTCACCAAACCGCAACAAACTGGGCAAAAGATGAAAGAAACAATGGCTCACGAGACTCGCGTGATTTATAGAAGTGACAACTTATAACGTTACGAATTTTTTGTTTTTTTTATTTTTCTAGGCTAAACATTTAAGTTGAACTAAACATTGGCAAAATAAATAACCAATAAGCATGTCAGACCGACTGAATACATTGCACAATAGGCTACATAGCTGACATATCCATTATACTTAAAGTTTTAAACATTTATTTCTATCCAGGACCAATCAGGAGACATAACAGGTGCCATGCGCTTTATTGCAGTAAGATCTCCACCAGAGGGCGGTGTTGTCTGGGGCACTGTTTTGGACCAAGAGCAGATGCAAGGCTTAAACTTATCAGGTATGGAGGTTAAATTTGTTTTCATTACCAAACCTTTTGTATTTGAATCATGTAAACTGCACATTTTATACATTGAATTAAGTCCAAATATTTATGCTCACAAATTTTCTCCCACAAAGGACCTCACCTCAACACTAAAATCAGGTTGAACTTTTTTTTTCTTAATAATTTTGCATGTTTTGATGAATAAACCACACACACAAATTTCAGTTTCACGTAATTAGGATTAGTTTTGCAGGTCTTCCCAGGGTCCCGGACTGTGTGTGAAGACAGAACCTGAATATAATCATCATCACATATCGTGCATATTTCTGTTTTTTAACAGAAGAAAATAAGCAATCAGCAATACATGCGTCCTGAATTTCAGACTTCCGGTCATCGCGCAATGCATACTAGGAAGGGTCCTCCGAAAAAATTATCATCAAACATCCCAGTGAGATGCGTCTATTCTCAAAGCCGATCTTTTCAATCTTTTGAACCAGATTGCTTTTGTTTCTGGTTCTGATATTGTCATATTTTAGTTATGGGATTCGGACACCGTAAGTGTGTGGTTGCTGGATGTCCTAACAGTGGAAAACAGCTCAAGAAATGGGCTTTAGAAGTTTGCGAACTCCATAAATGCAAAATGTAACTTATAAATATTCACCACAAGTGCTATACCAAACCAAGTAAAAATAAAAACCTGCCATACACACTTTAAGAGCAGGCTAAAAGAGGCAGGTTTTACACCGAAGCAACCCTCTCCATTTATCCAGGCTGGGGACTGACACAGAGGGACACACACTGTGCCCTGTGTGGCTGGATTAGACCCACTGCCCGTGCTTGTATAGAGTCAGTGTGTTAGTAAGTGCTTGCAGACATACTCACAGTAAACAGCAGCCTTCGGCCCTGTGAAGATTAATTTAAAAGTTCAGTAAAACAGTTTAGATCTGCAATGAGAAGAGTCAGAAGAGTTAGGGCCAGAACTACCATTTCAGAAGACAAGCCCGAAACAAGTTTACAACACACACAATGGCAAAATTAATATGAGATTTAACCTTTAACCCTGTAAAGTTAATACAGAAATGTCAACGTATTTCAAACTGGTTAAAATGAACAGACGGTGTGCAAACCTGTGGAAGAGTTGTATTAGGATACTATACTAGTATTTCAGTTCAGTGTAAGAGTTAGGAGTTAGAGCCATCAGACTATAAACCAGTACAAATCTGGTTCACATTTGACCAGTTCAGACCAAACCAAATACAAAACACACACAAAAATTTAAATTATGGTGTAAACATTTAATCTAGTCCACATTTAGGCCAGATCAGACCAAAAGAGACCAGCAGTCTCCATAAAAGTGAGTCAACATTTAGAATATGACCCACTTTTGGACCAAATTAGACCCAAAACTAAAACCTGTATCATTAAAATCCTCAGCGTATTCAGACATTGTTAGGAGATGATTCACACGTCACCTACCTGAGTTAAAGTCTGCATGGACAGACCAATAAAACCTGCAGCAGGAAGAGATTATGTCGGTCACAAACCCAAAGTCAAAGTGTTAGGGTCAGAAATATAACATTCAGACCACAAAAAATTACAGAAAACAAGGGCCTCAACCCTTGGACCAAAATTCAAGTCAAGATGAGTGGCTGAGCACTCACTCACTGCATGAAAGTTCCTTTCTGTGCAGAATTTGCACAGGTGTATGACAGCAGCTCACTGCTCCTGACAGGCTGCTCCAGCAGCACTTTGTTGATGATGAATGGGTCAAATGCAGAGGGTGAATTTCCCTCAAAAGGGATTAAAATATACTGTACCTCAAGATTACTCCAAATGATCAGGTTTTAAAAGATGTGGAGTTTCCATTTCGTACCATTGTCTTTGGACTCCTATCATCATTACATTAGTAAGGTGTAAGATTTCACTTTTGTGCACAAATCCCATAAAAAGAGTTTCTTTGCATTAATGACTTTAAGTAACTATCACTGTCCATTTTTTTTTCTTTTTTAACAACACGTGTCTCTGTTCTATAGTGATCAGTTCCAGGGCTGTTGGTGCAATTTGTAGTCAGGACTCTTCACTTGTGTTCAGTCCAGTTTTAATATTTTAATGCTTTGACTTAAAAGTGTATTTGGTGCTGAAATTATTGCACTTCAGTGTGTATCCTTTCTTTGGAATAGGTACAAAACTGAACTTCTCCAGTGTTGCAACAATTCATTCCATATTATTGATCAGAACATTTGAAATCATTATTTTCTTGATTTGTTTAGCTGTTTGTCTCCAGAGGTTTTTACATTCTTGGGTCCATTTGCAGCATTTTGACTTCAGATAGAGCTTATGGCTTCTAGTTTAACATGAGCTGTAACATATGTAAATAGCCATCCTTAGGGCATCCACTTCTTGACTCACACAAAATGTACAAAAACTCACGTAGTCCGTTGTTCGTTTGATTTCTTTTATTTGCAGATTTTCAGTGTTTGCAGTTCAGTGCGGTGCGGTGCGGTCAAAGATGGTGTCGGTTGCCCTCCACAATGCCATTCTCCCCACACACCTGTCTCCCTATTTGACCTGATTATTTGACCTAATTTCCCTAGGACACACCCTCTTACATGGACCTACCCTCTTACGCTATAAACCTAAAGACTTAAATTGACTGAAGTAACTTAAATTGGGACTGAAAATAAATCATTTTAACATTTCTATAATTTTAAGAATAATATTTTAATAATTGTTTTTAAGGTATAATAAAATATGAATTTATGGTAAAATATAAAATAACTTTTTAATAAATTAGATTACGGCTCAAACAGCTTAGGGTTAATTTTTCACTAGTCAGCAGTGCTCTTTAGCTTATATAGCAGTACTAGATATCATAGAGTTACCTGTAAGGTTAGTCAGTTACATATTAGTGTTTATCTTAGCAGTACACAACTAAAGTTAGCATGGTTTAGTTGAGCAGTATTAAACATTACAAAATTAAACAAGAACAACCTGCGAACAAGGATCGATTCAAATTTTTAGGTTGGATGTTGTCCTAAAACCTCATTACATTTTAGCTTTAGCTGTTTTCAAATAAAATAAACTAACATTTGCTACAGTTGCCGCAGATGATTTTCATGTCTCACAGTTGCAAGACATGAAGTAGATTTAGCTTAGATTAACTATAAACTAATTAACAATGATAATAATAAAACTTATACCTATAGATGGGTTAGAGGACACCACCCAAACCTGCAAACACAAAGGAAACAGTCAGTAACAAATTACAGTAAGTGTTTTATCTTGGGAGTACACAACTAAAACTATCTTAGCAGTATTTTAAAAAGCATGGTTTCACTTACCTGTTTCTTAAAGAGCAGAGTATTTCAGCAAAACAGTTTTAAATTCACCTTGAAGTCTTTGGGGGAAAGCTGGCTGAATTTCAGCCCAAAACACAAAGTTTTGTTAAACTCTGGACCAATTCTTTCACTCAATACATATTTTGGAGCACAGCCCCTGCTATAAAAACGGTCCATTCTACTTCTTAGTTCTTGGGTCTTTTTGACTTCTGATGGAGGCAAAGGTTCATTTTTCACTGGTCAGCACCACTTTTTTGGGCTTATATAGCAGTAGTAGATATCGCAGAACTGGTTTATAAAGCCTCAGCTCAATATTATAAACCTTTATAAATTTCATAGGTTTAATTTTCGTGACAGTGTCAGTGTCACAGCCCCTATGAACTCCTCACAGACATGAGGATAAAGTCTGTGCATCACACAGAGCAGACAGATATTTATGTACACAGTCTATGAACAGCAGAAACACTTCAGGCTTTAAGCCTTTATCAGGACACGGGCTGTTTTATGATCAGAGGATCCCATGTTTGGATGCAGCACATTCATTTTCAGTGAAAAATACCTAAGCTGCCTCTTAAACAACAGGCTATTGCAGCAGTTCTTTAATCATGCAAATAGAAAATACTTAAATTCTGCTTGTTAGCTTAAATTATCTGCACATAAGAGGGAAAGTATCATATAGACTTGAGATGATTTTGGCCAATATTATATTTAACATATTTTGAGAGAACAAACTGTAATGTGAAATAAGGCAAAAGCATCAACAGTTTATTGTACAATATACAATTTAATGATAAGGGAGCAATATTCAAACATTCTAAAACTAATTTGAGATGATAATATGTCAACTTTAAAGTACCATCTAAATGAAAACCATTTTTATCCCCTCACAGAGCTTCTGAGCAGCTCCTCTATTGACACTTCTGAGGTAGTTTCTTCACTCTCTGCATCACTGTCCGAGCTGCTCTCCTCTTTCTTACTCTTCTTTTGTTTTCCTTTTTTGTGCTTGTTATGCTTCTTCCTCTGCAGAAACAGTTAATATTGTGAGTTCAGACAAATAATACACTTGCTTGAGTTTTTGCTCCAAGAACTAGCCTACATAAGTGAATGGAAAGGGTTAACATTTCATATTTAGCCCTAAAAGTATGATAAATTCTACACATGTAGGTGCTGTAAAATCATCAAATGTTCACTTAAGGTCATGAAAAAGTCATGGAAAAGTTTGAAATTTTGTCAGTGAAAAAGAGTGAGAATGGACTCTGTGGTGATAAGCTTGTCCTGTAGCAACGGTTGTCCTGGGGCAGACTGACAGACCCCTCGAACACCACTTACACTCACATTCATACTAGTAAGGTGGATGACAGTTTTGCCACTGGTGCCCCACTATAGTACCTGAACAGTACTATTCTGATCTGATCCTCCATTATGTCCAATTAAAAATGAACGTTTTCCTTTTTCTCCTTCTTGTGCTTGTGGTCTTTTTTATTCCTGTGTTTCTTGTCTTTGGACCTAAACGTTGAAAACAAAATCCCATTAAATCAAGTGAAACAAGTTCATCAACTCCTAAATCAGTAGTTATTCTTAGAGCGCCCTCTTGTGTTTATTTAATAGACCACTCACATTACAAACAGTTGGAAGTTAAAATAAAAGCATGGCCCATTAATGAGCCTTAATGAGAGGAAGATACTTTCAAATAACCCTTAAATAACTCTTTTCTTATAATAATATGATGTATGGTAAAACAAGCTTTAAATTACTGTAATACTGTTTGATAAAGCGCTTAGTGTCAACTAAATAAACTAGAGGGGCTATTAAACTTCTATGTAGGATTAATTGCTAGAACATTACGTATTTAGATCACCTTTTTTTTTGCACATTAATTTGTCACCTGTGTTTTGTTTTTTTTTACTTCCTCTTCACTCGTGGCTCGGCCCACTGTCCCTCTCTCCAAACCATTGTCTTCAACAACTCCACACCTGAGAAATACAAGAAAAAATGTCATTCAAAAACTGTGGCTTTACATTTTCATAATAATTTGTACCATGAACCCTCAGTAAAATTCAGTAATCTTTAGTCATAAGATCGGGTACAATTTGTGCATTGTTGTTGCCTGTTTTGTGCAAGGACTTCGTTTGCAAGTATATTAGGCTAGATGACCAACAGGTATGGCATCAGTTAGTTTCTTCTGTCCCTAACAAATAAATAACAAACAAAAGGTAGAGAGAGACACTTTTTTTTTTTTTTTTTGCCTTAGTATGTTTTAGTCTGTTTATGCTTTACTATTCTGTTTGTTGATGTTCAGCACTTGTGGCTGTTTTAAAAGTGCTCTATAAATAAATTTTGATTTGAGAAAAGTTGTATAAACTGTGTTACTTGGCAGGTGCGATGATGTCCTCCAGCAGAGTGTCTCCAGGGATCAGGGAGGTCTGGGTGTTCACGGCTCGAGCTTTTTCCGAAGCCAAGACTCTGTGTCCCGATTGGAACTCTGTGCTCTGAGTGATCTCTCTGCAATGAGATGCCATGCTCACCAAAATCCTGTCATCACACAACAGCATAATGAAAACTATTCCAAGTTGTGAATGCATTTGTCATTGTTAGAGGTTTGACTCTCTGTTTGTTGCCAAGTCAGTTACCTTTAACTAAATTTTGCTTACTTGGCATTTACATTTAGTTTTTCAAGATTGTTTTGAAAGTGGCAGGCTTAAAATTGTGTTTTTCTATACTTTGAAGGAAACACCACAAAATGCACTTATGTATAGTAATTAATCAATGAATTAATCATTGCATTTATATAGCACCTTTCAAGACACCCAAAGTGCTTTACAGAGCATTATGTATTCATTCCAAAGTCAGTGATGGTAAGGTATTGTAGCCACAGCTGCCCTTGGACAAACTGATGGAAGCGAGGTTGCCAAGGTGAATCATCAGCCCCTTCGACCACCACCAACACTCACACACCTAGGGACCTTCTCAAGGTCCTTCTTGGAAAAGGATACAACAGTCTATGGCATTGGAGCCCTACGGTGGCACCTGGAATTCTCAGTAGTCTCCAATTAAAGAACTACCCAAGCCTGGCCCTGCTTAGCTTCTGAGATCTGATGAGATCAGGCTTTAACAAGCTGGTATGGCCACCCATAGACAATAATTCATTTAGACCTAAATAAAACTGAACCTTGGCAATGCCTCAGAAGCCATTTGATTTGTCAAATCTGGCTTGACATGGACAGTTAGGCAGTATAAGACAAGCCTGTAAAATGTAAGATTGAAGCAGGTCGTTCCAAGACATTTTACGACCAAAAAGAAAAACTTGCATAAGTAACATAATAGAATAATTAGACAATGCCATTACCTCCTCGTCTATAAACTCCTTCGGTCTGGCTTGCTGCTGTTCGGCTTTGCTTTGCCATGAAGACTTGAAGGTGGAAGGAGTCCATCCTGTTAAAATAAAAAAAACAAACATATTAAACCGATGCTAATAAAACAAGAAGAAGACTGCAGAAATAAAATAATATGTTCAATGACCTTCATTGGAGCCGACAGTACTGAAATATTCAGCAGAAACCCTCCAGTGAATGCCTCATGGAACCTCTGGTATCTGCACTTCTCTTCCCTCACGGTCTGTTCATAAATGGGCACCGGTTTCTTCAGAGGCTTATCTGTAACAACAAAACATGCAGTAGTAACTTTAGGATAGGATAAAGAGATACATGCATAATATATTGTATATAGTTTTGATGCCAAAAATGTATAAAGATTTAGACTGCTGAAAATATACAGTCAGTGTTAACGGCCAGGATTTTACTATGATTAAATGCTCCTCAAAATTGGTACTACAAATATTGGTACAGCGAAAATTTCAATAATTTTTTATTTTTTTTTTTAAATGAGAAAGATTAATGACAGTTTTGCAGAAAGTTAAAGCTTCTTCTATTTCAACATGGACTGTAGGAGCTATTTGCTTATTTAGTTTATTCTAAAATGTGTTTACTTTTTTTGTTTGTCAATTAGTTTACTAATTAAGTTTTGTTCATTTGTATAATACATTTTTGCCATTACTTTTCCTAATTTGTCTAATTTGTTATTATTTACCTTTGCCTTTTCTGTTTTTGGCTTAGTCCGTGGGGCACCTCGGGGATAAAAGAGGGTGGTACAACAGGACCAGAGTGCACCTGGGTGGGCCTATGGTTTTT